TCTTGAAGCTACAGGTTATTGAGAATGAATACTCTCCCAACAGTACTCTTCAACAGTTAATCAAATTAAATGAGGATATGCGACATGGTTAATAAGTTTTATGAATTTGTTTAGATCATTATAACTAATATGCCTCTTTGTACGGAAGACTGATTTATGCACATAATCAGTCTCTACAACAACTTTTTGTGGCCTAATAACACGGCCGTAATATTTGCAACTGTGTCTGTAAATAATATTCACGCGAACGTCTTAAAGAGATGTATTTTCTGAAGTATCAAGGAGACTTTCTTAATGATTAGATACAGTTGTAAGTCATTTACCATGACCATCGTCATAACTACTTCTATTTATCTAACATTCTCACTTAAAAACGTATATCCTTGGACAATAGAAAAGATTTGCAGCTAAGAATTTATTTAATAACAATAATTATCAACATTAATATTAAACCATAGGTACTTCAGCACTAGGCTAGTGGTTTAAACAAACCATACTTCATATGAAAACCTTAAGAAGTTATTGTTGGTGGAGTTACTAACGGGTGTGGTGTAATCTCTAAGGTCAAAGAACACTAAACAGTTAAATAATGTCCTATCTGTGAGAGTTGAAGCAATGATTCAAAGTTTTCACACTTGATTTATTTAATTATTATTTATATTATTTAACTGTTGCTCCCCCTTAAATGACCGCTGAGTAAAGAAAAACAAATTGAAAACCCTTTGATGTATAGTAACTTGGTGACACAGTTAGTCTTTGAAGTAAACATAACATTCTCTTTGTCATTATCATCATTTTCCATTATTAATTGACTCGATTATGTAACCGATTTATTTATTGCTTTTGTGTTATTTTCTTAATATTTAGAATTTGAAATAATACAGGAAAGTTAATAAACTTATCAAATCGTAATTAGCCATTGCTATCACCAACAGTAACTGCTACCTTTTAACCCGCATTTTGGTGAATAAGTAACTTTACAGAAGGATGAGTAGACTAAAAGACGGATAACTGTTAAGAATGAATTAACCAGATGATCATCATAGGGTTTGTAAATAACAATTTAATAAGCATAGCTATTCGTAAATAATTGTAAATGATAAATGTTTTAATGTTGTTAAGAAATAAAATATACTGTTTAAATATATGAATAAATGTTTCCGGAGACATTTTATTACTTTGTTTTAATCATACTTATTATTCAACCAAATGGATGTGTTTAAGTGATCGACGATCGACAGTTTATAATTCAATTAATTTATCAGTTCGTTATATTTGATTTACAATTTGAAAGTTATTTTCTCTTGGTCAACTATTTAAACCTAATTTCAAAATCATAGACTGAACGATTTAAGCATAAAATTGTAAGACCTATGAAAATTAATAAAGGTTCTATAGAACGTATTTCTTCTCATATTGAGTCACCTAGATTGAAAATAACAATACAGAAATTTAATTTATGACGAAGTAAAAGGTTAGTAATTTGAAATTTCTTAAACATGAGGATAGAGTCTGTAACTTAAAGGCTAACGTAGTTTGAACGGAGTTTAACGTATTAAAATGTAGAAAAACATGACTATTAAACGAACCCATCAAATACACTCATCTGTTTGTACACTAACAAACGTTGATTCTATCCGTGAATAGGTCTGTTCATTGAATTTTTAAACCCACATTCAGCATATACCATACAACGTCCCTACATATTCATTTTTTCCAAGAGAGAGAGAGAGAGTATTCTTCTTTGGGTTAGTTCTCAACATTATATGAACGTACTATCTTCGCAATTTACGAACTAGCACGTTACAGTTGTTTCTGCAACTAATATACAATGGAAACGTTGAACGAAGTGAATACACTCAATCCACTAACACTGAAAAATTCTCCATTTTCTGTTATCGTTACAGTGACTTGGCTAAGAATTAAAAGTGGAGTTCAGCACCTGTATTGCAGTAAAAGCTACTGTTACAAAACAATACAAACATCATGGAAGCCAAATACATGGTCATTAAAGCTGTATGGTTTGCATCACAAGTGCTCTGTCCTCTGTAGTGCATTTCATTTGTTTTTTACGAAATGATTGCTGTTTTGACACTAGGTTACACAACTTTGGAAAACAAGTATCAAGGAAAATGATTATCCATAACACTTCTTTTTTGTAGGAAATAAGAGACTTCGACTATAAATAACATGAATTTGTGTTTATACTGATTATAAATGATTAAACCTATATTACTATCCCAACCCAGGTTAGTGCACTATGGGTTAAGCGTTCCCTTGAGAGCCAAAAAGATTGTGGGTTTGGTTTCCGCAGGAAACACTGAGCTTCAGTGTCACATCTTGTTTCTGTACATGGCGGTTTTAGGATTTCGTATTAAATCGAATGTACTCTATATCCCAAAGCAACTTAAGTTGGACAAAAATTTATAATCAGAACTACATGAGTGTTGTTTCGTCCATCACTTGAAATCTACAGTGGCTTGTGTTCATGCTTAGTCCCGATATTAGAAGTGTGGTCAAGAGTTAATACTACTGAAATGTAAACTTATTAAAAGCCTATACGATGATCACTAATGATACTTTGTTAAAGGACTTCAGTCATCTCTTGGTATGTTATTTTTTTTAGGAATCAATTAGTGAGATTCTTCTCATGGGATATAAGTCAGCAGTTACGAAGAGGGAAATCGATTATGAATACAGTGGTCTTGGGTGCTGTTAGAGGTATGAGGGTGGTTATCATTCCCCAGTTACTTAAACGGTGGAAAGGTTCTTCTAGAGGTTTCTGAAAAGGAAATGGGATTAAAGTTGGTCTTAGCGACCTTAGAGCGTGAACGCAGTGCATAAAGGACAACTGCTTGAGGCCGGTCACACACGACCTTTTTGTGTTAGCTCCTAGTTCGAATCTATGAGATAAGGCGAGGTGTGACTTCTTAGGATCGACTTCTTCTAACTCCATCCTTCCTTGTGGGAAGACAGAATCGCTGTTATGCTGATTGTCTGAAGGAAGCACTTCAGTGCCGTCACACTTCCGTACAGTCAGCGGTACGACTTCGCCCTCGGTCCTTGGGTTTGCTGCTATTAGTCTTGTTATTCTTAAACCGACCTGCCTGGCATGGTAGAACCTTGAGGAATGACTGTTATAGCCAGTATAGCCCGGTTAGTTCGTCACGATTGGCGAGCCCGACCATCACGTCGAGGTAGCAGCGACAGTCCGGTGAGGATAACAGAATAAAAACACTTCATTTGTTGTTGGTTCAATGCCTAGTCTCTCTCTGCCTAGCCAAAGTTTAGTGAATCGGGTTGTTAAAAGACGAAAATAGGCCAAAGCAACATTGATTGGTCGCCCGTGAATTTATTCACTAGCAACAATTAGGCACTAGTAATTAGACTAATTGTCTTCAGAATCCCAAGTTATAAGAAATGTCAGAATTACTTTCGTGACCACTAGGATGGTAAAGGTCCGTCTTATTTTTTAAGGATGACAATGATTATTAGAGGCTCAGTCATTCTTAAAGACCTCAAAATTATAGGGAATAGGGTAGACTGCTGACATTTTCGGAGATGTTTCATTTAAATGTCTATCAAATTTAATAATATAATCATACTACCCCATCATGTTAACCCATATTCTATGATATGAAGATTCTATGGAGTCATCACGTGGCAATTTTTCTCGTTCAAAAGTATGGTTAGTCCTGATTTCGTAGATCCACTTGAAATTACCCAGTGCTGTGCAAGCGGATGAAACCCATCATTTTCACTGATTATTGAGTGCTGTTTATCGTGGACACAGCTCAACTTGTGACATATTTTTCCCCAAATGTCATTCTGAAAATAACTTTTCTGTCGACTAGCTTTTAGCTCCAGATTACACAGGTAACAAAGGTGATAACGAAAGACAAAATATTTCAGAAACTTTTTCTAGGAATCTTAGAACACGTTGTATTCGGTTTATACCTATGATTTGTAAACGTACTTCGTGAGAATGCTGGATGCTCACGTCTAAACTATTATGAGTAAATTAAATGAAGGAAAATTTCTGTCACGGAATCAAATTCATGTACTAGGATTCTCAAACATGGAATAAATATGGTTGGTGAGTGGTGAATGAACAGGCCAAAGATATTAGTCAAGAAGTAACTTTTAAAAGTAAACGATATCTGAAAATTACATGTATGTTTTGGTGAGTGGGTTCAAATTTCCATTCGTGTACGACAAAACTACAGAGATTGTACTTTCGTGGCCATTTTAGTGATTTTATATCAAAGAAATAACCAGCTAATGTGGCTTTAAGCAAACATCACAACAGCTCACTCTGTCTTTGAATGTTTGAACAGATTAAGTTTGATGGTGCAAAGAAAATGTTCCGAATACTATGTAAACTATGTCATGTATTAACTTACACTTTTCTTCATTCACAACTTAGCACTTCTTATCCATTATGCTTCCCTCTCCAATGTTTTTTCTGTTTAGTCGAGGAATCATAAATTCATAACTCTTAGAAAGATTAAATAAGATAACAACTATTATGGTAGTATGTCAGGCTAATCCTTAGAGCAATAGATTCTCACCGAAACCTCAGACATATGTAGTCATAATAGTCGAAATTACTTTGTTTTTTCCTAAATCTCAATATTCTGCTATTGTATATTCACAAGTTTCTTTAAAATCCCGAATCAACAGAACCAGTTAACAAAATATACTATATTTCACTCCGAAATTACACAATAGACGCAATTGTTTGCTAGTTTAAATAATATACAGTTAGGTATTTGAATATATTATTTGTTTAGCTATATAAGACTGGAAAAGTTTTGTCTTTCTTTCAAGAATTGAAAATATGTTTTTATGTTACACAGCCATATTTTTAAAAAGGTGTACCCGTGTCATTTAGAATTTCAGTGTAAGTTAAAAATCTGTTTTGAAGTATTTACGACAATTTCAATAACCTTCACAGAATTATCACACCTAGGGACTGGAGGTATACCTCTTTCACATTTTTATGGTGTTATATACATTGGAATCATATTTGTCGGAAAATGGCGTCTTTTATTAGTTCCTTTATCAGTAGTCGTGGAAGTAATGTGGCTAATATCACTGCCATCCGTAATGTCCATATCACAAATTCTATTTGAACGCTTGTGCTGTTGTTGTCTGTGATTACTGGAACTTACTGAAGGTGTTTTTCTGACTTGAGTTTCAGTAGCATCCTCATCACCATCCATATCACTCCAGTTACCTGGAGGTAATTCTTCGCAAGAATAACAGATTCCTCGTCTCCAGTGTTGCTTCAGTCCTTTTGAATCGAGAAATTTATGATGACATCTTGGGCAAATAAATGGTCTTTCGTTGGCGTGTAAACGCCGATGTAATTTTAGATGAATAAATTGGCTAAATTTGGCTGTACATAACTTACACGCAAATGGTTTTTCACCACTATGTAGTCGTAAATGTGTTTTTAAGTTACTTGTGCTGCTAAAACGTTTCCCGCACACTGTACATTGATGTGGTTTTTCACCGGTATGTACTAAATTATGCTTCTGTAAATGAGCCAACTGCGTAAAGCCCTTATGGCATGTATCACAACGGAATGGTCTTTCACCTGTATGTGTACGTAAATGCACTTTTAAATTAGATAACTGTCCAAAAGTTTTGCGACATATATTACATTCGTAATGCATGCGGCCATCGCGTTTTGTTAATGGGAATGGTAAAGCTCGGTACCCACGTTGTTGTAAATTATCGTTTGAAATGTTACCACTAATCACGGATTTCCCACGTAGTCTTGAGTAGTTTGAATGTAATCTATAGTTAGATAAAATCGATGACTTGTGTACAACATTTACTGAGTATTTTGAGTTTTCAGTCGATGTTATCGATTGAGAAGGAAGAGAGTGACTTGAAGTAGGTAGTGGGTAATTATAGTGGTGCTCACTATATTTCTTCGTACATGGTGTTAATATTGTCATCAAAGGATTACTACAAGGAGTTGTAATTTTATTCATCTGAAATGAAAATAAGTTATGAGCATAATCATATTCATTTTTATCCGGACTGTTGCTCGTTTTTGATTGAGGAGGTTGAGAAACTGACTGGGAAATATTTTTTAAATCACTAAAGTGTGCTGTATTTAGATTTGTACCATTTTCGCACATTCTGTTCAAGGGTTGTTGTTTGTATTCAGAGTCAGCATTCGAGTTATCGTTCTGATTACGTTTATTGTTGCTGATATCATTTGTAATGCAACATGATTGAGGGGACAGTGTAGAATTAGTGTTTAAAGACAATGAATCTGATCGGTGATAAGAATCCTCTTTCATGTGAGATGGTTTCACAAAAAGGTTTTCTGTAAAACTTTCTAACGTCCGAAAATCATTCGATGTATTCACTGAAGGATGTATTGATGAATTGAATAGAAAACTATCACTACCGTTATCAGCATGAATATTTATGTTATTACTAAACGGAAATGATTTAAACTGAATTTCATCTGTTTTCTTCGAACTCATCCCTGACACAGACTGACTGAAATCAATTGGTTTTGATTGAACTTGATTGAATTGTTCCAACCAAAGTTTATAAAATATACTAAACCAAAATTGAAAACCTGTTTGTGAACATGACGAAGAAGACAATGATGACTGTTCAGCCAATGAAGATGAAAAGAATGGTTGTGTTGGTCTACAATTATTAGTAGAATTAGAGCCATTAATTAACTGATCAGTAGAAAGCCATTCATCGTTTACGTAACTCTGATTTCCAGTATTAACATTATCGGAATTACATTGAGTCAATTTTTTTGTGTGGTTTGAATCTGTCAGTGTATTAGTTAAGTGATTTGATACACTTAATAGCAAATCAGAGTTTGGTGATTCGTGTTCCGATAACAAAATTCGATCAATTGTGTAAGTTAAGTTGGTTTTTATTTCATCTGCATGATGTATAATATTGTTGTTATTACTGATGTTATTATTATTGTTATTATTCAATGAGTGGTTTGAAGACTGATTACCATCTGAAATTGAATCAGGGAAATTCAACATAAGCGAGAGATCTTCCGTAAGAGAATTCTGACATTCCTGTAAATAAAGAACAGTAAGAAAAAGAATTAGCTGAAAATTGATCACTTTATTGGAGAAGTAGTCTACACAATAATATACAAAGTCTCCTTACAAAAGAGTACAGAATAACCAATAATGAATATGATAAAATAAAAAGTGATAGGAATTTATTATTTTTCCGGAAAAATTGGGCTGCTAAAACAATACCTTTCTTCAGGTATTAGGTATTAGAGCATGATATCAAATACTAACCATGTAGCCGTGTGAGTGATTAGTATGTTTATGGCTGTTCATTTACTCATTGAAAGATCCAACTTCATTCTGGAGAGACGAAGTTTAGTGGTCGTTCTGAAGAGCCTCGTTGAATTACAATCGATAAATGTGTTCATATCTGTGGAGTTTCATAATATAGTGTCTAAATGAACCATTTGTATTTGTAGAATGGGATCTGATTTATTAAATAAATAAGGTATAAAAGTGTAATTTGAGCATAACTGTAACAAACTTTCCTCCCTGGACAAAACAGCAAGTTGAGCCTAAAAAATTTATTCACATTCAACTCATTATATATAAAAGTGTTTTGATGTAACAAGCAGAAGTACGCCCTCCTTAGTTATTTTCATCGCTTCAGGTTTATTATCAATAAGTTACTAGTGATCTGATAAATAAATAATTAGAATGGCTTGGTTAGGTATTTTGTCCTTGACTGGGATACGTGTTCGGTCATTCTAGTAATTTTTCAAACCGGTTGTTCTCTCATAACATCTTCACATTATCTCTGCTAATGTTGTTTGTATATCTGATCTAACACAGAAATGTCCTCAAGGTGAAACTGACATTTTACGAACAATGTAACCGTAGTATTTATTCTTTTAGCTGTTAGTTTCTTCAATTACGTTTACATCATCTAGAGTTAGTATCTATAGTCTTTCACCGAATTTTTTAGAAGGAGTAAAGTTAATGAACAGCATTCGATTCCATTTTGTTATCAGAATATAAATAATAAGCTATAATTATGTAACATTATGTCTGACAAATTTGTTTTGTTTTGTTAAACGAACAAGAAAACAAATTTATGTATAGTTTTACTTCCATTCTTGGCCTTAAATACAGTCTGACACATGCCCTGTTGTCCTCCCATCCTCTGTATACATATTTATATTCCAATCTCATCCTCAACCTACATTCTATAAGTAACAGTTTTTTTATACTTACGCACAGATCTTAAAGTGAAAACCAAAATATTTTTGAAGAAATTATTCTTTTTAGCCTATTGGCCCAGTTTTCACCTTTTAATTTATGATGAGAAATAAATAAACTATTTTGATGAGAAATTGCAAACTAATATAAAAAGTATACAAACATAACATTCAACAGAATTCCTAATTAAAATTATTTCTTGTCACAAGTTGATTCCTCTGTCCCTCTCTCTCTCTCGCACACACACACACACATATGGATACTGTCTATCTCTCATTGTTTTTGCCTTAAGACAAATCCAATTTATCTACAAAAGGGATACTTTTATAATTTATGGATTCTAACACTCTGACAGAAGTGATATGTCTTCTGCAAAAAAATAAGAAGAATAACGAAAATGACCATAAATAAAGAAACTCATCATCTTCTTTTTTAACTTGGGAAATGTAACACATTCAAGTTAAATTAAAATATATGCAGATTATTTGTTGGCTAATAAAATAATAATTTTCAAATTTATATTGCCTTGATCAGATGTTACATTCATTGTCAGATCATTAGTCTATAGAATGCATCTAGATGATATTCGAAAGAAAAGAGATTTAACTTTATTAAAGAAAATAATCATAGAACTGAAATCCCATTCAATTAATTGTCGAAATGAATTATTCACAAATTAATTAATTAATTCAGTATTTATCAGTGAAGTTAATTTAAAAGAAGGATGATTATGTTGAAGAGATGATGGCAAATACTAATTGTCTGAGGACTGGAATATTTCAACTGAATTCTTCTTATTTGAATGGCAAATTTTTCATACCCTACTCAAGAGTTCTACCTAGGTAGAAATGTGCTCGAAATTAACCTATCAACTCCTTAATAGTTTACATTATGGTGAATTGAAAAAACACATATTTGAGACTTCGTCTTTTTTCCTTCGCGAAATCATGTAACATTCTTGATTTTCGAATCTTTTTCACTAAGATTCTGTATAGCTTGAAAACATTGGTTGACGATCAAAAGTGTTAATGAATCTTAGTTACCAGTTTAATAGTTTGAATTAAGTCATTAGCAGTAATTTCAGAATAGCAAAACCTATAGCCCCAATATTCACATTAAAATCACTAATTCATCATTTATTATTATTTAACACCTGACTACAACTTTTATGGAGTGAACTAATGAAAACAAATGCTAGCTATTTGTGATTTCTAGTATTATTCATCGTTGTTCTAGAACTCTTCCTCTGTATTTCCCTTCTCATAATAATTCCTTTTCTATTTAAAATTTTCTACTTTCGTATGATCCATTTTTCTGCATTGAAATATGACTATTTATGGTAAAATTAATAAACTATTTGTAATTACCGACTTGATACGCTCAGGGATTATGTACTTTCTCGGCTAAATAAAATCAATCAACTATTTTAAAGTTATTATCAGATGTGTTTTGTGGATATTATAGTAATTTCAATGGTTAAGATCATGAGTCAGTTGAAGCTAGACAACCACCTCCAGTGCTTCCAGGTTTTCCATGGTGGTCTAGCTTCAACTGACTCATGCTCTTAACCATTGAGATTATTTCAAAGTTATTCATTGTATTGAATATGTGAAATATTTTTTTGGTATATTTTTGTAGAAAAATAAATCTGATACTTTAAACGGAATATTGAAATCTCGGAATGAACCTCATGTTTATTAGTTCAATCCATTTTTTTTAGCTAATTCCACTGGGTCAGTCACTATATGGTCAGTCATGATAATAAAATCATTACCCATCATTCCATTTACAATCAGAAAAAAAACTGCCAAAACAGAAAAGTTGTGCTGTTTGTTTATGGTTGTTGTCAAGTCAAGTGACTTAATACCCAGTCAACAGATTGATTTACTGACTAACCGAGTTCAGCTATGTATTTAATTGAACAAGCCTCATTTAATTCACAAATAAGAACTGAAAATATGTTCAGTTGTTTTTACTTTATTTCTCTGCTTACAATAATTAAGCGTAAAAGTGTGTTTGCGTATATACACATTCAAAAAAGCAAACGAGAAAATGATAGAGGGGGGAGAAAATTCACTGGTTTTTTTGACAATGGATACAGAGATAAGACTAGTCGAAATGAATAGTCTTTTTGTGTTTGTTTTTTGTATAACCAAGCCTTTGAAAGTCATTATAACTCAATAAATCAATCAGTGTTGATTATTATAGCAGTGAATAATAAACTGACAGAATTAAATTTATTTTTAATGTAAATAAGTTCGCAGATGGCGTGCACATGTGATATAGCCAAATTGAAATAACGATAACAACAACTTGTTGTCATTCGAGCCCAGCAACAAACTTCGATAATCATTGACTTTGTTCTACATTGTGTTTTTTTAAAACAAATAATATTAGCTAAACAACAACCGTTTGTGGCAAAAAAGATCGTTTTATTTTTAAGAGATAAGTCTTTGTTAATGAAATTCTCTTTTAGTGAATTTTGTTAAATGCATTAAACAATAATTTATCTTGTTTGGAATGTAAAGTAAATATTATGAGACAGGTTAATGATACAGTAAGTAAAAGAATGTCTGACTCGTATAACCACTAAGCTTAATGAATGTTTCTTATTTATGATTCACATCATATATTTGTCATCAAAGTGGAATTTTAATCAAGTTTCGGCAAACAGCCTTCATCTGACAGAATTCATCATTAATAAGACAATAGCCATGATCTCAGAAGAAATAATGGGATCTCCTCAATTACTCGGATCTGTATCACTCAGAGACGTTACCACTAAACCATACATTTATAACATTTTGGGAGGTATAATGTATTTATCTTATATTTTAGTAAGTGGAATTCGTGAAATTTATCTTCATAACTTGTTAGTTTACGAAGATGATTAATAAAAAATATATCTCCCTACTGGAACACTTCATTAATGAATTCACACACACACACACACAAAGATATATGATATGGAATAATGAAAAAAATAACGTCGAAAAATGTAGAAAAATCTCAGATCAGGTATATTTTTTCAAATGTCTTCACGCAGTATGAAAAATATCTGTGATCCATGTTAGTTAACTAGAATTACAGCAAATGTCTTAACCACTAGATGATGCATACATTCGCATATAAAGACATCACATTTTCTAATCAGTAGTCAATAAGAAAACACATATTAGTGACATGATAACTACCACAAATCATGAATAAGTACTCCTTAATTTTCACTAATAGAAAAAACGGTAAAAATGAAGTGATTTCTTTCATTTAAGCATATAGTTTCGCTAAGAATATGAGGACGTTTAACCATGCTGTGTGAAATATGTTTTTTGTGTCGATGGTCAGTGGTCTCATTCACTCAAAAATCAACAGTTCACGACTGCCCAGGTCATTCAGTTGTATATTTAACTTCAGTGATGTGTAAATAATGAGTAAAAAATTTGTTAATATAATTAGTGTGACCATCATGATAGAATGATATCTACTTCAACATTTCGTACCACTAATGCAAACAATTATTAATCACTAATCTGACCATCTTGTCAATTTTCCACCTCCTGCTAGGTCTCGAAACTCAACTTTTTAAAAATCCGCCTCTATAGCTAGATAACAGACATAATAAATCTAGTTTTTAGTGAGGTACAATACCACTGTGAATCAAGTTAAACAATTATTTGAGAAGGGTATAATTATTCAATTAATTAAAAGAAAGTTGATCACGCAAATATGTCCTCCCACCTTTCTTAATCTATTCTCTTACTCTTACAATTATAGTTGCCACCAGAAGCCAAAGTATCACAACAATATGTTAACATGTC